GAACCGTCACTGCCGCGGGACTGAGGATCGGGAGAATAGATCTTCTATTATTTTCACCCCTAGAGAATAACAAGCAGTTAACCCTTGCAGTGCCGGGGTAGCTCCAATGCAAGGGCTAACTTTTCAAAATCCTTGAATTGATTCTTAAAGGGGAAGTCCACCCGCAGCTGTTGCCTTCTGTTCTGTGTGAATGCGCAGATCATGAACACGAGGCCGGTGAGCCTCCAAAGCTTGCTCTACAATCTATTCCATCAGCCAATAAATGGCATCACCGTAAATCCAAACTCATACTATTGAGAACGTTGGGAGCGCGTTTTTATCTTATATACAATTATTTTGGGTCTGGAGGACTTTATATATTACAGCTCTTATCATAACATCTCAGTTTAAGCCTTACATACACATCTACTACATATTCTATAGCACGGTGTAATAAATCAGATGTAGACTGGCCCTTTAATATAAGCATCGATGATAAAATACCTGTTTGGCTGAGCTTGGTTATTGTAGCCAACCAAACATATAATGGGCAGAGCCTGTCATACCCTACGGGGCTAAAGCGTTTGGCACAGCATGTAGCCGAGTGAATGACGTTCGCACAGCATTACTTGTGTCCCCATTGGAGGATTTCCTCTCCCTTCCTGTTCCTTCGGTGATAGCTCTCAAATTCTGGATTTCCCTTCACATTCTGTCCTGGTGACAATGGTCTAGAGGAGTGAATTTCCCAAGCTGGACACAGACCACAACCAGACAGGGGTTCTAACCTTCCACATTCTATCCAAAAACGACATAAAAGATTTGGGGTTTAGATTTGCTTAGAGCAGAACTCTGGGAAATCTATATTTTTAAGATCTAGATTGGGCCGGCAGAATTACCTGGAAGGATTCATATGTAACGTCCGGAGGGATGCCGGGGATGCTCAAATTTGTATCTGTATTCCCTGCCACATACATTGAGGGAGATTTATCAAATCAAGAGCAGACAAAATCTGGAGCAGTTGCCCATGGCAACCAATCAGCTTCTCTCTTCAGTTTGGTCAGTTAAGATTTGAAAATGAAAGAGAGAAGCTGATTGGTTGCCATGGGCAACTGCTCCAGATTTTGTCTGCTCTTGATTTGACAAATTCCCCCTCATTGTGTCCTTTGGTCTTCCAGGCGGTGCTGCAGCGACCGCTCGTCTCTTACAGTAGCATAGAAAACGGCTCGCTCTGCAATTCCTCCATTCAGAAAACGTTTTGTATTCTATTCAATACACCCATGACAATCTCTGATTGGACAAGCTGGAAAGGAGGGACGGATGATGTCACAATCGTCCGTCATCCAATCAGAGAATGACTTGTATTCATTAAAAAGAATACAAGACGTGTTCTAAATGGAGAATGTGCCGAGCGGCTTTCTACAAGACGGGAGGTCACTGGAGTGCCGCCGGACGATCAACAAACCTTCAGCATGCACGGCATTCCTCCAGACGTTACATATAAATCAGTGCCGGTAACTACGCTGGCCCAATCTAACATTTGAAAATAGATTTTGTATGTAGTTCCCCTTTAATTGATGTACTTCCCATAAGAATATTGTTACACAAAAAAACAGCCTATAGGTGTCAGCAAACACGTTTGTTCACCCCAAGGAATATAAATAATGTGGCCCCACCTGCAGACCGTACCCCACCTTACAGCAACAAAGTCACCTTAAAGTGTATGTAAACCCCAACAATGAATGTTTCAAATTTCCTCCCCTTTGGTCTACCATATATACCATTGAATGTTTTTTGTTATATCTTTTGGATAAGAATTACATAGTTCTCCGAGGACTCCAGAACCCCTCCCCTCTATGTTGTGGACTACAGGGGCAGGGCTCCTTAGTTTTTATCTTGTTTGTGTTGTCCTGATAGAGAATGAAGAGTGAGTGTTGTCACCCTGGAACAGGAAGTGTGTTACTGGCAGGATCACCAGGAAAAAAACGAATGCAGCCACCACGTCTAAGGGCGATATGTTAAATGTTGGGGTTTAGATACACTTTAAGAGTTCCCCTTTCCCAAGTTAGAGTTTAGGCCGTGATAGGACAAGGGTACGGAGACCTGTTCCTACACCAAGGCCTGCAGGCAGCTCACACAGACAGGCGGTGGGTCTTCCAGGGTTGCAGACGGGCGCTCTCAGCACTCCTCTCTCAGGGTGGTCATCTCTTTCCGCAGAGTCTCAGACAAGTCCTGATCCGCTTCTCCCAAAACCGCGAGGAAACTGTTCACCTGCAAATACAAATGTAACATCTGCCAAACCGAACACAACCAATACCGGCAAATATCAGAACCAGGACACCGACAGGGACTTATCAACCCGGTAGACAGTGTGAATAAAGTGTACCTGTAGCATTGCAGGGGAGGTGACTGGGGAGGGGAAGTGACTGGGGGTGGGGGAGGGGAGGTGACTGGGGAGGGGACATGACTGGGGGCGGCAGGCATTGGTGCTTAAAAGGAGAACTATGAGGTGAGTGCTTTTCACTCACCTCATAGCTCTAGCCGACCTGTGACAATGAGACTGTTACAGGTCGGCTCAGTAGATCGGGAGGTGAGCGAACACATACCGGCGTTCGCTCACTTCTCGATCCTGTCACAGAGCGTTACACCAAGTAGAACTATGGGGAAAAGCCCTGACCCCATAGTTCTCCTTTAATAGGGTTTAAAGAAGATCGCGGGGACTTTTAAAAGTGAACCCTTGCAGTGAGATAACAATATACAAACATACTCATGTAGGGAATGGGACTTCAAAGGTAACAATACTCAAGAACATGACCACAAAAACTATATTTTAACATCTAAAGTGCCAATACAAACATCCTCTACAATATATATCAATGAGTACAACATCCTCCTATGGTCTCAAAGCTGCTGCTCGGATTATATACAATAGATCAAATGGCTGATATCCAGAGTCAATCATCTTCATGTTTTTCAGGCCGATGTTTGCAGAGGGATGAGACAACTTCTCGACGCGTTTCCCAGATATGAAATCTGCTTTCTCAGGAGATGAAGAGGAGGTCATACATCCAGGAACAGATTAAAAGAACCTATCCGCTGGAGGTTATTTAAAACAAGTTGTTACATTGCCAGATTGTAGCCCATGATAGGATATAGAAATATTAACTATATACTTATTTATATTTATATCCATAATATTATATGAGGGGCGGTGATACCTGGAAGATGTAAAGTTATATTGGTG